GCTACAGGACAATGCTTTCCCCACATTGTTGTGTTTGGGTTTCACCATAAGGAAAAAAAAAAAAATCACCATAGTCTGGAGGTGTGGCAAAGGTGCCAAACAGCACTTTCCCTAATGAAAGGGGCAGTCCCAGGAGCTGGAAGATGAAATGAGAGGGGAGATGGAATGCCCAACGATGATGAAGTGTCCTAAGGTTGTGCAGGATGCTCTCTAAAAATCAATCTATCTTAATTAAGTGGCTTACCCCAGAAAGGATTAATTGAGACTCACGTTCACAGCAGCTGGTTTCTGTCTCCTCCTGTGTGGATAGCCCCTTCTCTGCAGACAGAGCAATCAGGAACAGGAAGCAAAAACCCATCCAAGTTGTCATCTTGCCTCAGGAACCCAATTTGCTGTTCTTTAAATATGTCTTTGAGCTGGGCTGGGGATTTAGGTGTTCTTGTATATATAGCAATGCCTATAAACAGAGAAGTGAGGAAATAGTAGAATTTCCTTGAAAAGGTACAAGATGAAACTATGTTGAAAGTCTTCTCTTGCAACACCAGCTTTCACAAATCTTGGCACTATTCACAATATTTGCAGATGAGGGATTGGCCTTTTTAAAAAAAACAAAGATCCCTGCATTGCATTACTTTCTCCACCCTTTGTACTTCCTTGAGCATTTTCTGTGGATTTTTAAATTTCTGTTATCAGAGAGAGAGGAAACATGAGTGAGCTGCACTTCAGGTAAACAAATATGTCAGCTTTTACAATTTTCCTTCTTGGATAAATACTCCCTGACAAAGACTGAAAATATCCCAATTAGCTTGCAAGTTGATTGTATGTAATTTAAGAACTGTTCATTAATCTCTTCTGCAATTTTCATATGTTCTTATGGATTATAAATGTATTTTACACCTAGACAGATATGAGTATAGACTAAATTGCTTCAGTACCTCTGCATCTTTGGATAGTCAATCCAGTCCCAATCTCTAACCTTGGAAGAAGAAGACGGAAGTCATTCTTTGTATTCTTTGTGTTTTTTTTCCTTTTGCTTTATATTTTTTTACATTTCTGTCCCTGTTACTTTTTTTTTACTCTTTATCATTTCTTTTGATCATTAATTTATGTTGTTTTTAATGTTTATGCTTTGTAAAATGCAGTAAAATCATTTAGAAAAAAAGAGTTGCCTTGCTAATATGAAAGTTCAAGTGAAATCAACTTCGAAGCTGCCTTACAAAGTCAGTGACAAGTGCTCAGACAAACACACGCGCACACATGTGTGTGTCATCTGTCCACCACATAATGTCCACCATCTGCATTGTTTGACTTGCTTTCTCTCTTTTCAATCATGTACTCCACCTCAGCTTCCTCCATGTCTGCAATATCAGGCAAATTTCCAAGCAGCTGTTCCATATGCCCACAGAATTGTTCTCTTCTGAAATGCTCTACATTTCAAATTCTGTTTATAAAGATCAGATTCTGCTGTTTGTAATCTGTGATGCATGTTATTCATTTTATCTTCTGAATTCTTTGTTCCTAAGATGCAGTGATTCTATCTAGTCATAATACTACTGAAATGAGATAATAAGATGCTGTTTCAATTCACTTCAATAATCCTAAAAATCAAAATATATTTACTTGCCTTATCAAAGTCAAAGAGCAAAAAAAAAATCTATTTTTGCTGGTTCCTTCTGTTGTATCCAAATCTACACCACAGCTTCCATATATATGACACCCATTGAAGATTTTTCTAAACCAGAATTTTACCCCATAATGCTTGCACGCTGTTGTATGTCCATCTTCTCCTAAAGAAGATTGAAATCATCTTGTTAAGTGGGCACCTTACCCGTAACCTAAGTGGACCTAGATGTTTTAGATTGCTTGCACGGAGTGACAGTTAGGCTGTCAATAGTCCTTTATTCTAGGCCAAAGTATGAGTTGAGCATCCCAGTGAGGAAAGGCCGTGTGAGGGGAAGAGTGGCTGGAGGGGAAGGTCAAGCAGGGGTGGGATTCAAATTTTTTAAGAAGTGATTCTGTTGGCGTGGCTCGGTGGGCATGGCCCTGTGACTGGGTGGATGTGGCTTCTTTTTTTTTGCAGCTCTCCCGGGTTTTTTTTTGCCTCCTGGACCACAGGGAAGGCTCCTGGGGGGAGCGTTTTTGTTCCAGGAAGCTTCCCTGTGGCCCAGGAAGGCAATAAATGGAGCTGGTGGGGCATGCAGATACCCTTGCATTCCATTTTTGAACTTCCTGGCCTCAGGGGAGCCTCCTGGGGGGAGTGTTTTTGCTTCCAGAAGGCTTCCCTCGGGCCCAGGAAGGCAAAAAACGGAGCATGGGGGAGCCGCGCAGCACCCCTATGTGCTCCGTTTTTGGGCGTCCTCGGCCTCAGGGAAGCCTCCTGGCCAAAGCAATAAGACAACAAGGGTGATCCCGGCACAGCTGATCATAGGAACAGTTGATTGTCAGGAGGGAAAAAAAAGAAATACCTTAAAGAGTGACTGGGTGGGGGAGAACGCAGTCAGTAACGTCGGGCATGCATATGATGTCACGCATGCACGATAAGGACTGACTGATGGGAGAGGCAGGCAGAGAGGGGCAGGGCCAGCCAGGGGCATGATTCTCCAGTTCTCCGAATTGCACAGAATCATTACAACTGGTTCTATAGAACCGGTCTGAACCAGTAGAATCCCACCCCTGGGGGCAAGGCTTCAGCAAGTTTGCAGAGCTGCACAAAAAGTTAGATACCGGTTCTACTGATCCAGTGCGAACTACCTGAATCCAGCCACTGGACTGGACCAATCAGCTAGTTTTCATACCTAAGTGGGACTACAGCTCCTGGTTTCTATCCTGGTACCTTAATCACTAGACTAAACTGGCTTACTGATTAGTTTTTTAACTCTATATGGGCCTATTCCCTCTGTTCCCTTCTTTGCATCTGCACTTATGCTAGAAAGGGAAGAGAAATTGCCCAATCATTACCCAAGATGAAAAAAATCTTTCTTTCCTTCAATAAACAACAAGCCAGCCTAAGAGAAAGTGCCTTGAAATAGCCCCGTCTATAAAAAGAGGATTGCAGGGATCGCTGTTGCTAAGCAATGTGGTCATGCTTTATGACCATATTACTCAGTGACAAAAATTCCAGCCCCAAATGCTGTTGTCAGTCAAGAACTTACCTGTCAGCATTCTGAGTAATGCACCCATTAAAAGCAGAACTCCGAGGCAGGTAGATTCCTCTAAGAACAGGTTTATTGGATACATCGTATCAGCATAGCCAGTGAAAACCAACTCTGAAATATCCCACAGTTATCACCTAATTAAAAGATTAACACTTCCCCCCTCCCCAGTGTCATCAGTTATATTGTCCAACGGCTCCTCTCCTCCTTCACCAGCCACTTGTTATGATGATCTTGGTCCCTACAGGAAAACTTTATTTTGACTGTAAGTTGGGCTATCTACGTCCTCCCATCCCCTTCTTTCTCAGGCTTCGTGGCAACTGAGAGGCAGGACAGGATGGCTTCAGCCAGGTTTGCTTTAGAGTTGACACTACCTGTAAATGTTTTGGCATGAGGCAAGCCCTCTCCCATCCTAGTGATCAAACAATGAACAATACAATGTTGTTTGCTCATCAAGATGGCAAAGGGCTTGCCTCATGCCTTAAATATATATAGATAGTCCTCAACTGACAATGGTATTTGGGACCAGAATTTATGTCACTGAGTGGTATCATAAAGTGTGACCACATTGCTTAACAATAGCAATCCTTGTAGTCTCAGCTGCCATCATTAACTGACTTGTAAGGTCAAGTTACTTCCTGCCAGCTTCCCATAACCAAAGTCAGTGCGGAATTCAGCAAGAAGTTGCAAGTCCCAGGCTGGCAGGAAGGCAATTAAGAATGCAAACATTAGGAATTTCTCAGTAGCTATTTATTTTCAAATTATGTGTAATAAGTGGTACAGTCTAGGTTCACAGATGAATTGTTCCTCTTCCCCATTACTGTGATATCAACGTGTAGATGCTCCTTAATAAAATATAGTGCCAATGACAGGGAATCTGAACTCGTGTCAAGATTGCTTCAAATTGGTCACAGCAGCTAGAACTGCTGGGAATTTGGCTTCAGCATCCTCTTAAAGTCTCCCCCTCCCTCCCTGTACCACACAAACCAATGTTGAGGTGATGTTACTAATAATTGCAATAGGATCCTGTCATGGTTCGCTGGTCTCTTTCTGAGATTTGATAAAAATATCTGAGGACAGAGCAGTAAAGGGAAACAAATCTGTTCACTGTTTTCAGAATGTGAGAATCAGATTGATATTTTTTTAGTAGAGTAAAATCCATGTATCTTATATATTTTCAAAAATTATGGATATTTCCTTTAGTGTTCCTCTTTCCAAGTTGCAATACAGACAAATCCTCAGAAAGGAAGAAGAATCCGTTCACAGATCCTTGATTTAACTGTTTCTATTAAATTGCACCACTCTTGGGTGATATCTGTCTTTGGAGAAACTCTGTCAAGGTTCAGTTTCTTCCATGCAATATTTTCCTCTCCTAGAATGACCAATTAATTCATCCTTAGACCCTGACAGTCTAACACTGTCAGCTCATCGGCTCTCAGATCAATAATGCCCATGTATTCTTTGGCTCTCAGTTTTGTGGTGATATGAGGCAGCCTCATGCCACAACCTCAGGAATGAGAAGACTTTGTAAGAGTACTAAATATTTCATATAATTGAAAGGTTAGATTTTTAGGTCTTTCTGGAATACCCCAATACATCCAGGGATGATACAGTAATGAGAATAACTGCTTTGCATTTGAAAGTTTGAGAATTCTAGACATTCAGTCAACATTTATTTCCATAAGATAACAGTGGATTACATCCCAAGTTGAAAATGCTAAATTCTCATGCAAGAGGCAGCTGGGTATCCTCCATCCTCCAAGTAGCATTTTCATTTCAGATACCTTTAATTCCCAAATGAAGGTCGTCCTCCCAATATATTTGTATTTATAAATACATATGCAATTGTTTTGATAGCCACTATTTAGTCTTCTTTTTTCAGGAACAGAATTCAGGAGCATATTCATGTGCTAATACATTCATTCAGCAAGTCAGAATTGAACAATTCTGAATATATTGATATTTCTCCTACTGAGCTCTAATTTTCATATCCACATATTTGTAAGAATAATGGTACCCTCTCCCAGCACTCCAATTGATGCCATCAGCAAAAGAGCTATGTTCCCCTTTGTGATACAGGCCATTCAGGTTGGAAGAGTGGCAGGAGCCATACCACCAAGCTCCCTTGTAAGTTACAGCACAACTTGTGGGACGGGTATCATTGTCTTTGTCTTTTGTAGAGAATGCCAGGCCGTTATGTCCTGAGAAAGAATCCCCTGAGTGAAGATAATCAGAGGAGAAAATCAGTGATTTAGGATATTGTTGCTTTTAGTCACAATGCTATAACAGTGAAAAATGCACATTCTCTGCTAGGAAGAATTCAGCAGGAAATCAAAAATAATAGAATGCATAACTTATATGCAAAAATTCCCAATTCAGTTTATCACGTTACCAGGTAGGAATTCCTTATACCATTGTTTGCTTAACCATGGTTTATTAAAGAAATCCTAATTAATGAATAATGTCACATGCCAAGCTATAAACCATGGTTTACAAATACAGCTAGACTTCATAATATTCTAACTAAAAACCAATCAACATAGAACAATGAAATAAGATCACCACACACCATATATACAAATTATACATGTTTAAAATCCTAGATGGCAGTTCTTGACCTTACTTATTCATTCATGATTAAAGATTAAAAATGAGAAAGAATCAAATATATAGCACACATGGTACATTTAACAGAGAGTCATTTAAAAAATACAGTAGGAAATAAAGTAACTCAAAATAATAGAAAAACAACCCTAAGGCCAAATTCAACCCGTTTTTTTCCTGGTGACAAAGTGCAACACAACAAATTTAGCTCCTTTCATAGGTACAGGTGAAACTCGAAAAATTAGAATATCGTGCAAAAGTTCATTTATTTCAGTAATGCAACTTAAAAGGTGAAACTAATATATGAGATAGACTCATTACATGCTAAGCAAGATAGTTCAAGCCATGATTTGTCATAATTGTGATGATGATGGCTTACAGCTCATGACAACCCCAAACCCACAATCTCAGACAATTAGAATATTACATGCAATCAATAAAACAAGGATTGTACATAGAACAATATCGGACCTCTGAAAAGTATAACCATGCACATATCCTCAGTACTTGGTTTGAACCCCTTTTGCAGCAATTACTGCCTCAATGCAGCGTGGCATGGAAGCTATCAACCTGCGGCACTGCTGAGGTGTTATGGAAGACCAGGATGCTTCAATAGCGGCCTTTAGCTCTTCTGCATTGTTCGGTCTCATGTCTCTCACTTTCTCTTGGCAATGGCTCATAGATTCTCTGTGGGGTTCAGGTCAGGCGAGTTTGCTGGCCAATCAAGCACAGTAATCCCACGGTCATTGAACCAGGTTTTGGTGCTTTTAGCAGTGTGGGCAGGTGCCAAGTCCTGCTGGAAAATGAAATCAGCATCCCCATAAAGCTCATCTGCAGAAGGAAGCATGAAGTGCTCCAAAATCTCCTGGTAGATGGCTGCGTTGACCCTGGACTTAATAAAGCACAGTGGACCAACACTGTGTGCCTCTCCATTCTTCCTCCAGACTCTGGGTCCTTGGTTTCCAAATGAGATGCAAAAGTTGCTCTCATCAGAAAAGAGGACTTTGGACCACTGAGCAACAGACCAGGTCTGTTTTCCTTTAGTCCAGGTAAGACGCTTCTAACATTATTTGTTGTTCAGGAGCGGCTTGACAAGAGGAACACGACATTTGAAGCCCATGTCCAGGATCCATCTGTGTGTGTGGTGGCTCTTGATGCACTCACTCCAGCCTCAGTCCATTCCTTGTGAAAGTCCCCAACACTTTTGAATGGCATTTTCCTGATAATCCTCTCCAGGCTGCGGTCATCTCTGCTGTTTGTGCACTTTTTTCTTCCACACTTTTCCCTTTCACATAACTTTCTATTAATGTGCTTTGATACAGCACTTTGGGAACATCCAACTTCTTTTGCAATTACCTTTTGAGGCTTTCCCTCCTTATGGAGGGTGTCAATGATGGTTTTCTGCACAACAATCAGGTCAGCAGTCTTTCCCATGATTGTGATTCCTACTGAACCAGACTGAGAGACCATTTCATGCTCAGGAACCCTTTGCAGGTGTTATGGCTTAATTAGCTGATTAGAGTGGGACACTTTGAGCCTAGAATATTGAACCTTTTCACAATATTCTAATTTTCTGAGATTGTGGATTTGGGGTTTTCATGAACTGTAAGCCATAATCATCTCAATTATGACAAATCACGGCTTGAACTATCTTGCTTTGCATGTAATAAGTCTATCTCATATGTTAGGTTCACCTTTTAAGTTGCATTACTGAAATAAATGAACTTTTGCATGAACTTTTCTAATTTTTTGAGTTTCACCTGTATATGAATATGACCAGTCTTTTAACAGAAAATAAACTATTTCTACTTCAGGCCAGACAGCTACTTTTGCATGGAGCTTAAGGGACCAGGCTAGAAACTAAAAAACTGAGTCCTAATCACACCTTAGGCATAAAACCAGCTGGATGACCTTGGGCCAGTCTTCCCCCACTTTCTCCCCCCCTCCCCCCACCCCCCAGGAAGCAGACAATGGCAAGCCACTTCTGAAATCTTGCCAATACAATTTCAGGGACTTGTCCATGTGGTTCCCAGGCATCCAAATGGGTTCAATAGAATAAAGTTGGTTAGTTCTTTATGCCAACTTAAACAGTAAGGAAGGAATTGTTCATTTGGAGCATCTCTTGTCATAGCAATAGCACTTAGACTTATATGCCGCTTCAAAGCCCTCTCTAAGGGGTTTACAGAGTCAACATATTGCCCCCAACAATCTGGGTCCTCATTTTACTGACCTCAGAATGATGGAAGGTTGAGTCAATCTTGAGCCAGTTAGAATCAAACTGCCAAACTGCTGGCAGCAGTCAGTCAACAAAACTAGCCTGCATTCCAACCACCACCCATAAAAGGTCAGGGCCGCAATACATAGGCAATACAATTAGTCTTCATTTAGCAATTGTCTCATACAGTGATCATTCACAGTTACAATAGAGATGCCCACAATTATGATTTTGCAGGGCTTCTAAAGCAAAGGAAAGCTGAAGTAAGATGATAAGCACAGTTATCGTTTCACTTAGCGACTGCTTTGCTTAACAACTGAATTCCTGGTCCCAATTATGATTGCTAAATGAGGACTATATGTACATATTCTAATAGCTTCATGTGAACACAGACAATATTCAAGAGAAGGACACTTGTTTAAAGAATGACAGAAATCCATCAAATGTAATATTACATGCAACGGTACCGAAATAATGCATTTTTTCAGCATTAGCCATACTGGTAATTCTAAAATTTACTATCAAAAATAATACATTTCCTAAAAACAGAAGTGGAAGGCAAAATCATAAGAAATTTTTTATATTCATATGGTGCCTTGAGGCATGTGGGACTTGGCTAAAAGCCTTCAGAAAATGCACTGCTGTATGACAGATTTTTAACTGTCTTCAGATAATTGTGGTTTCTAATCTATATCAAGGTACTAAAATGAAGAAGCAGCCTCTGTATTACTCACCCATGTTGCCATCCAAGTAGGAGCCCAAACTTAGCTTATAGTTTTCATTTTCATTTGCGATTCTGAAACTGGAATATGTCGCAAAGGTTGTGGAACCATTGAAATCTTCCACATCAATTCGCAATTGCTGTGTTCCTAAACACCAAAGGGTGAATGTTGTTAGAGAATGAATACTAGAAATACAGAAATCCTTGAAGGGAAGCATCCTGATCATTGCAGTGGACTTCATTCCACAAGGACATAACCACAGGGCCCCCACGATTCACAAAAGGTTAGTTATCATTGCTTTTCGATGGACGTGGCTCACAGTGGAATTGCGAGCCGTGTCTCTTGAAAAGCAATGATAACTAACAACATGCAGGAACAGAATTACAGGAGCACGAGAGTTGGAACAGGAAAATTAAACCACTGTCAAAATCACAAACTTTGATCATTTTGCACAATTAGGCAGAAAGTCATCCATGGGTTGCCACTTTTTTATTTGCTTTCACAAAGTCAGTATTTTAAATAGCTGTCTACCTATATATGGTGAGTAAAGGCAGCAAGGAGGAATACAGATTGCAGCTCGGGTGTCCTGGTTGCATATATGAATATATTAGCCAGACACCATGCATATATACTGTATATCTGGCTAATATATTCATTATTTTCCTCAGATTTCATTTATGAATTTGGAATGTACCATTAATCTTTATGGAAGGAAATGGAAGGTGTTCTACCAAAGCTTCCTGAGACTGTAATTAAGCACATGCTTAGTAAAAGCAATTATTGTTTTATTTCAATTCTGGGAATTATGTTCATTCCCAGCCTATAATGAGTCCCAAACAGTCCCTTTGAGATAAGCACCCATCTTTCTTTCCTTTGAATTGCTGCCAACAACTATAAAAAACCAACCGAAGTACAAAGTCCACATAGAGCTTCAAGGATTAATCCAAACAGAACAAATGATTTTGCTTCCTATGAAGGTTTCTTCACCTTTGCCTGTCCTTTATACTTTATGGGAGGTGCAATCACCTCCAAGTCTTACTCCTGACTCACCCCTTTTGTCTCAGCTGCTTTTGCCTTCTAGCAGCTCTGCATACACGCCCACTGGGAGCAGCTCCCATTGTTCCTCGGCCTTGCTGCTGCCAGACTCGGGACACTCTACACCCAGCACCCCACTCCCAGAGGGTCCTGGCCCCATCTCAGCATTCATTGCAGGACCCTCGTCTGAGTCCTCCCCAGACTCCCGGACTGGTCCCTGTTCTTCCCCACTGTCCCATTCCACTGCCATCTGCACAGGCTGCCAGCAAACCACAACAGAAGGAAATGAAGTCTTTGGAACCAAC